TTGGGAAACGTTATGACGCTTATTCTTCTCCATGTCCTAAATTTTTGGGAATCTCTCGTACTCCACCCAGAAAAGGTTTATACGATTTATTCGTTTAAAGGTTGTCGTTCCGAAATTATCGTAAGGTAAATTAATTTTCCCCAAAAGAAATAATAAAATAAAAATTAATCCATGCAAGACACCCAAAGTGTGAAAAAAAAAGTTTTACCACATGAAATATTAAGTTTAATGCACACAAACTGAAGAAGACATGCACAGTTAGTAGTACTTACTAACAATAGAATACATGACACTTACCTTTAATGAAGATCTGGTGATGATTGATGGGATGCGAGGAGGGGAGAGTGTCGAAGTTGTTGTTATTTAGAAGGGGAATCCCTTCCATTAGGGACTTGTGGTAGCAAGTCCTTTTCCGGGGTTACTTCCCTTCTTCTTTTAACCCTTAAACGGTCCAAACAGATCGACGTTCAAATTCGTAGTGCTCCAAAAGTAGATCTATTTTTTTTTTTACACATTTTTAAATGTAAAACAAGAAAGAAGATATACATTTTTTTACATACTTTAAAATGTTGGGAAAAAACGTTTTATATACGTTTGGACCTTTTAAAGGGTTAATGCCACTAGGCCCCGCTTGAGTCGGTGGACTTCTGTTGCAAAAAACATATCTGTCATAGAGGCCTGTTACCTCTTGTTCTTTTATGACTTTTCTAAAGTGGTTCACAACATTGTCATTGTAATAGTCACCAGCATGGCTTGCAATAGCTGTGTGAGGGTGATTTTCATCCATAAAGGTTTTCACCTTTGTCCACATTGTCACATTTCTTTAATCTTTGAAGTAGGCAACTTCTTCAATTTCTCTATCCCCCCTCGAAGCAGTTTTCTCAGGTCTGGCCTCTTGCTGTTGAAGATGACCCAAAGCAGCATTTAGTGGTTAGTTTTTCATTGTCCTCCTCCACCAACTCTTCCACATCCTCCCCCAAACCCTCCAACCCCAAGGACTTCCCCAATGCCACAATGGTTTCCCTCAACTGTCATGTGATTCCCAGGGTTAACCTCAAACCTCAAAATCCCTTTTGCCTACACATTCTGGCCCACAGTTTCTTCCAAGCAGAGTTCAAGGCCCTCTTAGTCACTCCCTCCCAAGCCTTACCTATAAGGTTTACACAATTGAGGATATGAAAGTGATCCTTCCAAAACTTTTAGTCAAACGAGGGGTCTGTGGTCACTTCAAAGCACTTTGAAACATAGCTTTGTGTACAGTTTCTTGAAGTTGGAAATGACTGCTGGCCCATGTGCTGCAGGAGAGGAGTGGTATTAGGAAGCAAAAACTTGCCCTTAATGAAGCTCATGTCCCCAAAAAAGTCACTCTGCCAAGTCTGTAGGATGACCAGGGGCATTGTCTAAAAACCAGGAGGCACTTAAGGTTGATTTCTTTTCAATTAGGAAATTTTTTCACATTGGGGGGCAAATGCATAGTGTAACAGTCATAGAAAAAGTCCCTAGTGACCCATGCCTTACTGTTTGCCCTCCACAGCACACACAAATTAGCCTTGAGGACATTGTTTTGCCTGAACGCTCTGGGAGTTTGAGTGATGCCCCAAATAAAAGCTTCACTTTGCAATCACCACAGCATTGGCACACAATCAGAAGAGTAAGCCTGTCTTTTTTTAGGCTTATGTCCTGGGAGTGCCTTTTCCTCCTGGGTAATGTAGGTCCTGCTTGGCAATTTTTTCCCAAAACGGCCTGTTTTGTCACAATTAAACACTTGTTCAGGTTTAAATTCTTCACTCTATGTAATCCTTAAATTTCCCTTTCACTATTTTTCAGCTGCTTTTTGGTCCAAAATGGCAGCCTCACATGCCTAATCACACTATGTATGCCGCTACGATTCTTAAATCTTTCAAACCAACCTTTGCTGGCTTAAATTCACTCACATTACCACTAGTGCAGGCATTTTTTCAATTAAATCCTCGTGCAATTCCTAGCCTTTTCACATATGATCACTTGAGAGATGCTATCTCTTGCTATCTGTTTTTATTTATCCACACCAATAAAAACTCTCTCAACATCTTATAACATTGCGATCTCTTTAGAAAACAGACATGCACCTTTTGCAAGAACAGCTTCCTTGATTGCTGTTTTCTGGCCACTATAGTAGCGATGGTTGATTGGGGTTTGGTATACAAAACCCGGCCAGCTCCGACACACACAAATTCACTTTCTACTTTGCAATTATCTCTTTCTTCATTACCATAGTAATTAGCACCCTTTTCCCCCCAAAGGGGTTTGGGACTAGAAGCTTTCTTGGGGCCCCTGGGGATTATTTTGAGAAAAAAAGCATCAAAAACACTGTGATAATATGGAATGTACTGAATGTATGCTTGGATGTGAGCACACTGGCTGGCTTGTAAACACTGGCACGCACGGGGCAGTTCAGGCCACATGTGGATACGTCCCGGACGAATCGCGTGTGGCAGGTTTTTTAACGTGTGGCGAGGCAAAATTTTTGCGTTAAAATGTATCGTATGCCAGATTTAACGTATGTTGGTGCCATCGTATGCCGGGGGTCCACTGTACGTATTTGTTTATGATTGAAGAAAAGTAATAAACATTTTGATATTGCATTATAAAATTGAATTCTCCCATTAAATACAATACTACTGTAATTGAGGAGGTTTTATAAAGTTGATTATCGGACCTACTTTATTTTGTATTCTGGAGGTAATGACAATTTGTATGAATGCAGCACGATTATGACAAGTTTTTGCTACTTTGTATGGTAAAGCAAGTGAAGTTATCTCCCAATCCAAGGTCAAAAGAAGCGAAGTTCAGAATCTGCCTTTAAAGAATATAAGCCAGAAAGGGATCCAAAAAA